CATGTGACTGTGGGTGACTATGGCAGCACAGCAGTAGAATTGAACAGCAGGGGAAAAAAAATGAAACAGCAAAAAAAGGTCCAAAATTTCAATTCCTCTGGAGTAAAGAATCCTGGCATTCTGTAACTCAGCTGTTTGAAGTATCTTTGTTGATAAAATTTTGTTCCAAGATGCAGTGTTTCACTCAATTGAAGGTCACAAAGTATCAAAAAGAGAGTTTTAGTGGTATATAGATCAGGGGTGTCAAACTCGATTTCATTGACGGCTGCATAGGGGTTGTGTTTCACCTTGGGGACCAGGGTGGGCATGGCCATGGTGGGCGTGGTCAGTTCAACGTCACTCGTGGTGGGGTGCCTTTGGTGGCTCGAGTGCTCTGCCAGCAAAAACAGGCTCCCGAGCTCCATTTTTTGGCTGTGATGACTTCCTGCAACCCTCTGCCAGTGAAAACAGAGCTTCATTTTCACTGGTAGAGGCACGGTGGACCAATCCTTTGCTATTTCCAGGGCAGCTCCGTAGGCCAGATCTAAGCACCCTGTGGGCCAGATCCGGCCCCTGGGCTTGAGTCTGACACCGCTAATATAGATGAATAATTTTCCTTGTCTGTAAAAGGGTACCCTAGATCATGTTGTAAATTGGTACAATTCAAATGCTGAAGATGTCAGCAGCACAAACCATAGGCCCGCTATTGCCCATTAAAAATAAAAGAAATTCCTAATTGCTTCCCAAATGAGTAGGCTGCAAAGGCTCATACTTTTCAGGTTTAAAATGCTAGCTATCCACAGAATGTGTGGATATTGTATTGAAAAGGATAATTTTGAAAGAAATATTAGTAATGGGAGTAATATAAAAAGAAAAAGATTGCAAATGTATTTTTAATCTAGAACATGAAAGAAAAAGAGAGAAAAGCCAACCAACATTTTTTTCTTGCCTTTTGAGTTCTCAGTGAAATTCAGGAGTGAGTTAACCCTGCAAGCTGGCAACCCCCCCCCCTTCCATTTTATTACAATTGCAGAAGCAGTCTGGGGAATTTGGTATAAAATTTATTTCACAAATTTTTCATTGAGTTCTATAGTTTTCCTCTAAATTTTCCTTAGCTACTACTGTTTTCTCTGGTGGTTGTTTCTTTCTTTCTTTTCTTCTTTCTGATCTTCTCCCATACTTCTATTCTTTATTCATCATTGTGCTGTCAAAATTGTCTTTTGCCTCATTGTTCTGGGCTTATGCTGCCCTGACTTATACTGACTTCTTTTCGACTCCTTCATCTAGCAAACATGTCTTTCTTCCCTGATATTCTATATCTCAAAACATGTTTGTTGATGATCATTCCTTATTTAGATCCATCAGTTTCCTTTTTCTATTCCCATTAACAATGCAGTACTTTCTTGCTTATTTGCTTCTTCTCTTATTTCTGGAACTGGATAGCAAAACATATCCATATTAGTACTTCTCTTATTTCCATGCCACAATTCTTCATTAAATTTGGAGATATGAATTTGTGGTCGATTTTTCTATACTTTTTTTTTTTAAAGAATAGAATAGAATATTCTTTATTGGTCAAGTTTGATAGGATATACAAGGAATTTGTCTGCAGGGCATAAACTCTCACTGTATCCACAAGTAAAAAAGTGATAAATCATAAAGATACAACCAACAAAATGATAGTGTTAAGATACCCATAGGAGTAGGTAATAGGAAAGATGAGAAGGATAATACTTCTTGCAAAAAGAAGCAGCACACAATTTAAAAGAACTCTGAAGAAATTGAGAAACACTGTCAGAAGGAGAAACAGTTTTTGCAATAGTATTCTAGTGTTTTACTTCTTATATCTCTAACAAAAATCTAACAGGCAGGGACTGTCAAGCAGCTCGCATGGCAGTGACAACCAGTAAAAAGATCCTCACTCCCAAAAGAGATCCTATGAATAACCAAGGAGGAGTGATGTATAGAGCAAGAAAAAGTGTGAAAGACGGCAAGGAATGAGTGAGTAATCAAGAAATACAAGCAAGGGAGCAAGAGACAGAACAGTGATGAAACAATACAAGCAGAAGTGAGAACAAGAAAGTCAGAGAAAGCACAAGGAATAGATTGAGTAAGCTAGATAGTGAGAGAATGAGTGGGAGATAATTTACAGTTTATTTGCACAGTGAATGGAAGCTTCCCAGGAAGGTAGGGGAGGCAGAGGAGCCCACCTCACCTGTAATTATTATTATTATTATTTTGTTCAACTTCAGCAACTTTAAGACTTGTGGACTCTGTTCCCAGAATTCCTTAGTCAGCATGGAGTTCTGGGAGTTCTGGGGAATTCTGGGAGTTCAGGTCCACAAGTCTTAATGTTGACAAGTGTGCCTACCATTCCTGTCCTAATGTTTCTTCTATTTGTATCTATTTTATGTATCCAATCCATGCTTATACTTATTACCAAATACGTTCTTGACAAATAAAATAAATAAAATAAAAATAAATAAGGTTGGATCCCTCTGGTTTAAAGTCGTCTCCTCTCCCAGCCCTACTTCACTTTACAAAGAGTGATTAGTGGGTATGTCTTTGCTGGCAGGAAACGGATCAATCACCACACTTTATTTACCTGGCACTAAACTGTCAGGAAAGCTTCACTTGCTGGCCTTGTTACCGAGACAGAATAGAGATATGCTTTGATAATGGGGCAAATTATAGTGGCATACCTTTGTGTATCCTCCCAGGCTGGAAGAAAACCCATTAAACAGTCTGCTTGGATGTGCATTTAGTTGGAAAAGAAAAGGGGAATATCAGAATGATGAATTAAATAAATCTTCTTGGAATAATGTAATGAAATGGTAGATAACCTGCAGACCTAAGCTCTTCCCAGTTCATTAAAAAATATTCAATTATGCTGATAGGAAATGAGAGGAATAGGAATTAAGCTTCCAGTAGGAGTAACACATTTTTAAATACTAATTGTAAAAAATATACTACTTTCCAAAGGTTAATATTATGGCTCTTTCATTTCTGATTACATCACCATTGCCTCACTATTGGAAAAAATGATCAAATCATGTTATATATAATTTACCTTTCCTTAAGCACTCAAAGCAGAGAGATACAGATGCTATAATATGTCATCACTGCATGTACTAGGTTTTACGGAACTTCCATTCCCCCTCTTGAGGGAAGGGAGAATTCTCTGTTTTATATTCTGTGTGGTGTTTTTAGTTTCATTGACCAGCGTGACTGTTTTGCTCCTATTGGAATTTATCACATGTTATTCTAACTAAAAATACTATACTGGATAAACACTATAAAAAAGAGAATTCTTCCATACTCCACAATGCTACTTATATTTTTGCAAAAAAAAAAAAAAATGCTGAAACTAAATACTTATTTTATGAAATGTATAGGCTGTCCCAATCTGTTACAACTCTACTATCTGTTGTCCACATGAATATATGTAATATGAACAGAAACAGGGTTACTAGCATTCCGGGTTGTAAGTCAAATCAAGTCACTGAGTTGAATGTGACTCCTGGTGACTTCATGAACCGATCCATGCAGTTTTCTTAGCAAAACAACAGCGGTACTTTTTTCCATTGCCTTCTTGAAATTGTCCAAATTTCTCTGTTGATTCCACAGCAAACAGCTGATATATTTGATAGCAGATCCAAAATAATGAATTGCAAGAATAAGAGAATAATAGAGTTGGAAGGGACCTTGGAGGTCTTCTAGTCTAACCTTCTTCTCAGGCAGGAAACCCTGTACCATTTCAGACAAATAGTTGCCTAATCTCTTCTTAAAAACCTCCAGAGTTGGATCATCCGCAACTTCTGGAGGCAAATCATTCCACTGATTAATTGTTCTATTCTTTGAAATGTGAATTTAAGGAGCCATAGTGTGGCATCTGCACAGAAGTGTGACATTAATTCATACAATTTACTGCATAGGCTGCCTGAGTCAATGACAAAGCATCATGTTGCAAGTCCAGCCCCTCTTCTTCATGCATCATGATGTTGTGTGCATGCACCAAAGGGGCTGACCTTGCAGTGCAACATACTGGACAGCTTTTTTCTTCCTAAGAAAAGCAGGGAATGTTTGCACATGCCTCTGAAGCTACAGTAAGTTCCTCCCTGATGGCACGATTTTATTAGGTAAGGTTTGAACATTTGCCTATACAACAAATTTTTAGTTTCATCCTAATATTTGTATTAATCAGTCCTTGATTTAAAATCACACAAACACAGTCTAAAACACAAACATTGGTTTCTTAAAGTAGAGTTAAATAAAAAACAAACAAAAAACCCAAATATACATTTAAAATAATTACCAAGTTATGTTTATAGTTGAGTTATTAAGTCATGTTCATAATCATATACATGTGGAGAAAACCCGTGGTGAAATTTACAAAAATATGCATAACTATAAAATAAAATTTTAAAATACTTTTACAGATTTTTTTTTAGAAAAATCATCCTCATAAAACAGGTTAGTAACAAATGAATGTGCTTACATACAGAAATTCTTCTTAAAAAAATAAATTTATGGCTTTCACGTTTCACAATATAGACTATTTTCTGTTTTAAAGGAACCTTCCCAGGCTGATGCCCTCTAAATTTGTTTGATTTTATACTGTTTTGGGATTACTGGAATGGAATAATCTAGATGTCCAGATGTCCAATCCATCTGGTGTATGCTACATTGGGAAAGGATGCTTTAAATCACGATACATGATTTAGTATCCCATCGAACAACTTCATCAACGTTACTAATGGAATGGGACTCTACTCTTTCTGCAATTCTACACTGTGAATCAAATAAAATTGAATGGAATATAAGAAAGATTTGGTTTATTGTGCCTTCATCTCTTCAGTCAAATCTACATTTTAAGAGCTGCTATAATTGTGCGACATTTTTTTTTTCTAATCAAGATGAAGCCTGAAACATGGAAGCAGTGAGATTATACAATGACTGAGGTTACCTCTGACAAAACAGAGTTTTAAAGAAATCATTATTAAATACAAATACTAAATTGATACTCTTGTGTATTGGCTACTTAATTTTTATTCCCTTATACATTAATGATGGCACTTCAGAATAATACAAGACAAAGATGCATAGCTAACTAGAATACATGGATATACAGTCAAAAACTAGGTGATATACAACCTAGTTTTGCAGTATGTGTGGACTGACCAAAGATGGCCAAAAATCTCCTTTGGGGTTACTATTCCAATACATAGTTCATCCCAGTTATTTATACTATATCATCTGCTTACTTCACTTACAGACAGAACTCAGTGCTCTTCCTAATAGATATCATCTCTATAATCTATCTATCTATCAATCTATCTCTGTCATCTATCTTTGTCCAAGAAAGAGTTATGTGCACTATTGAATTGTGCTTCCAGGTTTTTTTAACAGATATTGCTGCTTTTCTATTAAGCTTTCTGTAGTCCAGCAGAAGCTACTACTGGAAAGTGACCATGAGCATTAGTATGGCTATGGGCATCTCCTTGATGTTAACTAGACTTCCAGAAACTCTTAATTCTTTTATAGTTGTTCTTAATGTGTAAATAATGGATGGCAAGGAACAACCACTCTGTTGCCTAATGAAATAGTTATTTGAAACTGATTGTGCCTACTATGGGATCCTTTTGTTAAATAGGCATACCCACTTCCAATGGTAGTCTTTTTTCTTAGTTTAACAACAAACTTTCATAAAAATATAAGTGATAAAGGAGACTCTACACCAGATGTTTTCATCGGCTGCTTTCCCTTGTCATTCCCTAAACTATGTAGACTTTACCCCTTTACTAGAGTTATCTAAAATTAGGTTGTGTAGGAGATGTCTGGCATTTTACATGCTTTCTGTGGCTCACAACACTACTGATCTTTGCATATTTTGAATAGATACTCTTATTTTCTAAGCTGTGAGCTCTACAGCTTAGAATGCAGTACAAATGTATTTTAGAGCCTCACAGTGTTCAGCTGTCAAATTCTACCCAATATCTTGTCTTCTCGGATATAGATAGTAAAAGGAATGTAGGTTCCATAGGACAACATTAGATATCTTCAGTCTGGGTTCTGACTTCTTCCAATCTTACTAATTTCACTTAGGCCTTCTGGAGTCCTTGACCCACAATGTAGAGTTCAGGATAAGAAGATGACTTGCCTATTCCTTTTCCCTCAGAGAAATATTTGCTTTTCCAAGAGTCTCCTTCCTTTAAAAGGCCATTTTCCATGCTGCAAAAGAAAAAAAAGCCTAGTGAAATTTAATATTTCAAATAAAATAACAAGAGAAGGTGTGTTAATCTAAGAAAGGAAGAAAATTATCAGTTCATTTTTAATTCCAATTTCTTTGAAGAAAACAATCAATAAAATTATCCCTGGAAGACAAGAATTCCTAACGCAAATATTTTGCATTCCAAATATCATATTTCAGTGACCTGCATAAACATGCACACGTTAAACACATATTAGTAGAATGGATTTTTAAAATATACAGTATTGTTTTTATGTAAAATGCAGGAAGGTCTGAAAGGCACTGAAATTACAATTGTGTTAGAATTATTATTAATTGCCCAACATGCCCATTAGTTTATGCCCACAAATGTTTAGAGACTTCTGTGCATATGCAGTGTAGTAGATCAAATGTTGGATTAGGTCTGGGAAGGTCCAAGTTCAAGTTTATTTACAATCACGAAAGCTTATTGATTGATTTTTGATCAATCATATTCTTATCCCAGCCTGCTTCATAGGACTGTTGTGGAAAAAAATGGTAAGAGAAATTGCTATGTATGAACTTCTGGAGAAAACATGTGATCTATGTTAACAGATAATATAACTTTTTTCAAGCATTCTACCATAACTTGGCAAGTTGAGATTAGCAAGATGTTGAATTTTACATCTGTCATTCAATTTTCCTGAATTTTGGTAGAACCATAGAATACATATCAACATTCTACTTAAAACTGGCATACATACTACCAATGAAGGAGAATATTTGCAGCTAAAGGTTGAAATAAGGGGTCCTTGGTACTCTCTGAACTTGGTTGTTTTCTTGCAGAAATTTCCCTACCCAAACTAGGTAATGTTACCAGTCCTAAATGACACATCTGACATATATGTTTCTGTTAAAATTTTTAGGGGCAATGAAAAAGGGAATTTTACCACAACATCTTCAGTAAAAACTACAATGAGTTATGATGGTTGATGGAGAAAAATAATCCAAATCCTTAGTTGAGTATTATCTTTATTAGAACCATAAAATGACAAAAGAATGTACTTCATTAAGGTCTCACCCTTGCATCCTCACAACATGAACATACTCCAGGAACCACATTTTTATGCCAGTCCTTATGTTGTTGCTTTCCTCTCATCCTCAATACATACTTGAGGCAGCCTAAAATTGTCTCAAGCATTCCATTTTAGAGTAACACATATCCTCTTCTTACCAACTTTGTCTGTCAATACAACCAAACATGCTTTAAGAATAATGAGATTATTAATACATTCAAGAGAAGGATCAGTCCAATTCCTGTTAAACACCTTAACTTCCGTGGGCATGTCCCTTCCAGCTTCTGGGATCCATCTTCCATGTCTGTTTTGACAGGGGCACAGGAGAGATCAGACATTAAAACAAAGTGATAGCACCAAGTTTGGCCAGCTGCATTGCTAGTCCTGCTACCATTGGTTATATGATAGGCTTTTCCAGCCTGTACCATAAAGAATTCTTATGGCCATACTTTTCATTGTTTTTATTACTTTGATGGTGTGTGTGTGGGAGGGGGGGGGAGCGGTGCTGTTGTTCCTACTCCGTTCGATTCCCAAATGAGGACAGCCTTGAAATTAAATGGCTGTGGAATATTTTTTTCCCCTTCAAGGGATAAACTAGGCAGAGAAACTATATGGAAAAAGGCAGCCACAGTTTCAAAACCTACATAACCAGTTGTCCAAAATGTAACAATAAAACAGAAAAATCAAAGGACAGATGGACAAAACCTGATGAAAAACCTTTAGAACCTGAGTGGCTGCATCACAATGTAAAATTCAGAGACAAGTAATGATTTAGATACAAAACTCATGTCCTCCAATCAGAATTGCTTCTAGCATTTCCTCTTCCTGCAATTATGTGTTATCACAATTACCCAATGTTTCCTTCTACAAATATACACTTCCTAAAAATTGTCTTAAATCCTTATCAATAAGGTAGGTTAATTTTATTAGGGAAAGTCTAATATTTTATACTATGTATAGAGCAAAATGCCTATGTATGTTGATTCTAACATATAGTAAAATAAATCATAATAATATAGGTTGGACTATTGTAAAATATTGATAGGAAACTTTAAAAAAATGAATTATGTGAGATAGAACAGTTTCTTAAACCCCAATAATAAAGAGAAACTTAGTATGGACATATATCTACCTCCAGGTTTTGTACATAAATCAAAATATCATGCATTTTATTTACAGCAATCTGTTTTATAATATGAATGATTTTTATTGAGAGATTTAACCTTAAAATAATATTTTGTAATAACATAAGAGAGTTTTACAGCATACTTTTATGATTTGTGATTTGGAAGCCTATTTCCTGAGTTTAAAGACTGGTTTCTTGAGAATTTGTAAACAACAATAATGACAGTAATTTACTACGTTTGAATATGATGCCTTAACATTAAGTGAAATATTTGATTAGCATCCCTTTTCAGCTCCCAGCCGAACCATTATACAAGTGGAAGATTTTAATCTGGTATTCATTAGCTTAAAATAAAAGCTTTCCCCCCTCATGATACATGCTCAAATACTATATGGTTTTGTAGTGTTTTTTCATGTTGTGTCTGATTTTAACTAACGACCAAATGAAGACTAAAGTAATCTACCTCTTCTTTCCATACCATTACAGTGGTTTGCTAGCTCCCTTAGCTTCAAAGTCTGACAGTCTCTATTCCCTTGTTATTCAGGGAAAGGAAACTGTCAGGAAACTGTTAATGGACATTACTGTACTGTACAGTTCTAATTTGGGACCATTGACACATTTGTTTGTTATACTTCAGAATCTGATGAGAGAAGAAATGTTCCATAGAAAACTGCTACCCAGCTTGTTGATGTAATAATCTGTCAAACATTTTTTTTCCTATTTATTTGCTTTCAAGTTGTCAAGCTGAATCCAAGCTTGAAGATAGCTGATTTTAAAAAAAACAAAAAACCTAAGGCCTCTGTCCTCTTTAAAAAATAAATAAAAAATAAATGGCCATAATAAAATAGAAGCAGTAACTACAGGCTTGCCAAGTAGACTTCCCCTAATAACTGGTTGCCTGTTTTGTCACATTCATTAACGTGATTGGTAAATAAAATGCATACAAACATATAATGTATAGGTTGGAAGAGGCTACTGTACATCATTTAGTACAGCATTTCTCAATATCAGCAACTTTAAGGTATACAGACTTGAAATACCAGAATTTCCCAGCCGGTATCCTGGGGAATTTTGAGAAGTGAAGTCCACACATCTTAAAGTTCTTGAGGTTGAGAAACACTGATCTAGCCCAACCTCCTCTTTAATTCAGGCTTCACTAAAGTATCCTCTTCTTCACCTCCTGTTTGAAAGCCTCCAATTAAGAAGGGGGCTACCACAATTCTTGATAGACTCTTCCATTGTCCCGCAATGATCGTTAGGAAATTCCTACTGTTGTTGAGCATAAATATATCTTTCTTTTAATTTCAATCTGCTAGTCCATATTTTCTCAGTTACAACAGAGAATAATTTTGCTCTCTTCTGCAGGTGACAAACTTTAAGTTATTCTGGGACAACTATCATATATCCTCTTAGATTTCTCCTTTGTAAGCTAGAGCTTCCCAAGTCCTTAACTATTCTGGTCATCATATTCTAAATGTGGCCTAACCCCACAAAGAAAAACAGAACAGTTACCTTTCATAATCTGCATTTAATGCTTCTACTGGTGCAGCCAAGGACTGTGCTGGTCTTCTTAGCAGCTGCATTACACTCTTTGCTCAATTTCAATTGGAGATCTATTAGTATTCTTACATTTTTAAACATTGGAACTTACTCTTCACATGAAGAGATTCCAGAACAATCAGCAATAATGATTGTTGATGAGTAAAGAAACAATAAGAAAACTCATCACACTGTATCAGCAATGGTAAAACAGTAACACTACCAAGAGGAATTTAGACTGTCAAATATGGTATATGTAAAACACCTAGGCCAGTAGAGATAACTTGAGTAAAAGAAGAACATTCTCAAGTAATAAGCAAAATTTCTCTATTTTTGGTCCTGTGTTTATTATATCAGCGCACTACCTTTTCTTCAAGAGGTTAGCTTCAGCACAACTTTGTGAAATGTAGTTACCAGAAAAAGCCTATAGCCAGCTAGTTAGTTTCAGAGATGGGAAATTTGAAATCCTTTCTCACAATAAGAAACCTGATAAGGAAGCAGCCTGGCTGATGCTGATGTTAGCCTGCCTGTGTTCTCAGACTATGTCAGAAATTAGAGCAGGATGATTATGTACTATTAAAACCAATGTGCAGATGTGCCACAAGGAGATGTGCCCCCTTTCTACAAGTCTTTACTCATGGAAACAATGGCTTGTCAGAAAAGAGCTACTATATTGAATTATAAACCATGCTGATCCTGACAATCAGGCTATACATCTAAAGGCAGTGAAAAGTTTTGAAATTAAGGCTTCTTACCTTGCTTGATTAAGCACAGGGTCACTTTCTGCTGTAACAAAAACTGGCAGTGGAAGCTGGAATTCAGGCCTGTGATCAGAGAAGCTCCTTCTGAGGCAAGGCTGAGGACTAGTGGCACTGTTGATCGTCCTCTGTTGACCCACAAGTTGCCTGATGCTATTTCTCCTTACAGATGTTGAGGCTTCAGGGTGGGCCACAGCCCCTCCCATTGGGTTGATGTTTGATGACACCACTGGCTTGGCTTCAAATAAAGAAGAAGTAGCTGGGCAAAATATTGAGTGAGCATTGCTAACAAACTTTGGGGACGCAGAATGTGGCTCGTCCTTGGAGTCCATATTGTTTTGTAAACATCTATGAAACTGAAATGGGGAAATAGATGGAGTAGTTCCAAAAGGAGGTGGGTTTGCTTCTTGGTCATGGGATGGTAGGCTGGACACTTTTTGATTCTGGGAACTTTGTTGTTTGCGTATTACTGGAGGATTAGAGAGATTTTGCTGGGGTGGTGGGGAAATCACTTTTCTCTGTACTGGGGGACTTGCTGACCTGGAGTGAGTTGAGGGACTAGGTTGCTGATGTAGAATGGGAGAAGAAACTTGATGAATAGCTCTGTGATACAGTGGTGGACTTGGAAACCTCTTCTGATTAGGAGGTGAGGTAGGTGGTATTCTTACTGGTGATATTCGGCTGATAAAACCTGACGTTTTCTCATTTTTCTTTAATAAATCAGGAGAACTTTGCTTTTCAGGTAAAGGAACTTCATTGTTAATCATGTTTCCTGGATTGCTCCCATTTGGTTCTGATGCTTCTTTAGGATTTGGAAGAGGTATTATTTTACAAGACTGCTTGTATAGATCTGCAACCTTTTCCATTTCATCATCCCTTTTGCGGCAATCAGACATATGAGTTGCACTCAACTCCAAGAAATATTTATTTGGTATGGTATCTACCTCGTTATTTAGTGCTTTGTTGACAGCTGGGGAATTGCTGAGTTTCTTATTTGGTAACAAATCAAGTGAACAGATAGAAAGTTTCCTCCGTGGAGAAATCTGAGTAATTTTCTTGGTGGTGCACTGTTCATTTGCTCTGGTAGTCTTATCAACCACTTCCAAATAGTTTTCTTCCATCTTTATATCTCCTGAACATTCAGTCGATTCAAGTAACATTTCCATTAACATTTCAGGTGGTGGAGGAGGTAGGTTTTCCATATCAATCTCACCAGAATCCTCATTTGTATCAAGACTACTTGCAAATTCCATTGAACTATTGTCACTAAGAGTACAATGTCTAGTTCTGATGTTTTTGCAACTGGTATCTTCTAATGGTGAAACTTGATGTTTATGATTTAAGGGCACAAATCCTTTGGAAAGTGGAAGGTTGGGAGAAATACTTTGAAGTCCAAACTTTCTGACACATTTTATTGGGCCCAACGTTCTTAAGTTTGAGTGTTTCACCAGACTTTCAGATGGGCTAAATGTTTCAATTAATTTTTTCACAGATTTACATGGTAGAGTGTTCGGTTTGGTGGTCCCAGAATAATTTTCTTTTATAGATATCAGATCTTCTGAAGACATGCCAGTTGTGGCCGATTTTTTACATTTTACATTTTCATTGTATCTACATGAAGAATCAGGCAGTATATTGAAATTTTTAGCAAGAGATGCTTTCAGTTTATTAGTGGAAGTTCTGTGAGCAATAGGCTCAAAATATTCTGAGTCAGACAATTCTTTTGGATTCAATATTTCCAATGTATCAATGATTTCCTCTTTTCCATTTAATTGATAAAATAATTCTAACCTTCTGTCAAGATCTTTTTGAGTTCTTTGAAGTTCCAAAAGAGTTGGGTCCTCAGCATGACTTTTGAGAGACACCTCAGACCTAGACCGTTTTTGTTTAATCCGTGTCTTCTGGCCCCCAGAGGCTGTACTAGGTCTCAGAAATTCTTTTCCATTTTCATCTTCCATCCATGCCCTTTGTCGACATTTAGCTGGAACAAATTTTATCTTTTCACTAATGGCATCTTTCATTTTGAGAATTATCTCATTATCTGTGCTATCTATTTGTTTGGTGGAAGGCTTCTGTCTATTCTCTTGCGCTGCAGGAAAAGATATAGATCTTTTAGATAAAGCATTTTTTTCTTTTTCAGACAGACTTATAGAGTCACATTCTTCCTCAGATAAACTGTTGGCACTATTGTCTTCATTTGTGGAGGAAATGCTGCCCAATTCACTCTGTTTGAAGCTATTACTTTCATGGGTTATATCAGAGTGCCCAGAGTTAAAAGTTTTCAAGGTATTTTGATGTTGGAGAAGAGTGGATCTAATTTTTGATACTACCTCAGATGATGATATTGAACTCCTTGTCTGTGGAGGTGAGTAAGATATATTCTTAAACGGTTTTTCCAGCATACAGTCTTGGGACATGCTTACATCATTCCTGGAGTTGCATGGACTTTTGTGAATGCCCTCACAATTTGTTTCCATTCCATGCCGATCAATAATATTCAAATCTTTCACTGATTCACTGTCAATGCCTATTCCACTGTCTTCAGAATAAAGAGTCATATCATCAAGGTAATGATTGGAAGATCCAACTGCAGATTCTTCAAGGTTCTTTATTATCCTGACCAAGTGTTCATCAAGATGTTGCTTTGCTTTCATTTTTTCTTCTAAACTGGTACTTGCAGACTGCAAAAAGCTGCAAGACTCCTGCAGGACATCAGAGGCTAAAGAGGCCACAGTTCCATTTAACAACTGCATTTTGTTGACAGTGTATTGTAGTAATTGTTGCAAAAGATCTGGCTGCTCTTTTGGATTTTCTTTGCCAGCTGGCCAAACCAGGTTCCCTCCCACTTCTTTCAGCAGGTTTTCTCCATCTTCAATAATTTCTTCTAAAAGGTGGTTGATTCCATCAAACCGAAAAAGCAAAAAGTTCACCAATTGTTGCACAATTAATTGCGTTTCAGTAACCTGATCTGTCATGCATAAGATAGCCTTATATTTGGCAATATTAGGATTGAGATATGCATATGCGTTTTGATGGGCCTTAACAAGAGCGTCTGGGAAATCTACCTTTTTCTCCAGCTGACATGCAGAAGGATTGGATTTCTCTTTAATTTTGCAAGGACGCCCTGATTTTCCCTGCCTGTTCCTTTGCTTCTTTCCATTTTTGTGTTTTTGATTTTTGTTGTTTTCACTTTTATCTCCCATGGTAGCATCAACCTTTTCTGACTCAGAACTTTGTTGTTTTTTTATCATAATTGCTTCTGCCATATGTTTGCCTTTGTTTAACTTCATCGATTCAGAAATAGCTATCTCAGTCTTTGAGACTATCTTTTCAATTTCTTTCTCTTCCTGGTCCAGCTCAGACAGCAAAGGATCCTCAGATGAGGAATAGAAATTAACATCCTTCTCTTCATTTGATAAATTTTTGAAGAAGTGATCTTTAACTTGAGCCTCCTCCTCTCTTATTCCTTCAGTATCACAAGAAGAGGAGCCTTTGATCAGCAAAGGAAATGAAAAACCTTCACCTCCTCGGTCAACTAATGTAATTCTTTTATCCATCAACTTTGTTTCAGGATTCTTAACAATATCACTACGTGAAGGAGTACAACCCATTGTGCTCTGCCTTCCTAAGTTTCTTTACCACTGAAAGATAGTCAATAGATGAAGCAAAGATGAAAAAAGAATGAAAACTTACAAGTTTAGCTGATGTTGGGAGCTGGCATTTTTTGAGGAAAGCTTCATCTTGAAGAACCAGTGCTTTGCAGATTGCCCAGTTGTTAAGAAACTTCAGTCCCAGCTTGGTTCGTGTATTCTCCCCTTTAACAATTTCCCCTATGAAAAATATCTGTGGCATTTTCGACTGAGCTAGGGGATTAAGAGAGCTTATGTATCTTGCTTCTGCCTTAACAGATGTCAACCAGAAAGAAGGATTTAAGCTAATTAGGATAAGAAGCCCACAGCTAGTTTGTTGCCCTTGTAACAGGACAATTCCTGTTACACACTGCATTTTACAAATTGGCTTTTGGTCCACTGCAATGGGTTCTCATTGTATTTCATTTCTAAACTTTCTTTGGGCTCTGAAATTCCAAAGACAGATGCAGTTGTAATTCAGTTCCAAGAACACTGTCTGCAAGGCAAAATACTACCACACGGTCACCTAAAAGGACTGAACATGACCTTGGATGACTAATGCCAATTAGGAAGAAACACAATTTACAAAGCCAAAGAAAACAGCATTAAAAAGCTTATTAAGCTGTTCAGTCTTATCCGATCTCAAGAACAGCATGAGCAAGCATTCATTTCCTTGAGGACTTTCTCCAAAAATGCGTTGAATAGTTTTAGCTCTCCTCCCTTTTAACTTTCCAAAATGATAAAGCCGTTTTGCATAATTCTATTTTTCAGAGTTAAATAATGATCCCAATTCAGCATGCACTTTTTCCCCCAGCTCTGCTTTGATTTCTTCAAGTGCAAGAGCACCTGCAGCAGTTCATGGGAGGCTATGAATTATTCACCAGAGTGATGTCTCTCAGCATCAAAAGAGTGCTCAGTAATCTTCTCTTGCCCAAAGGCTGGATTAACGCAACCAGGTGCAGTTGATTAGTCTAATGAAAATGCCCTTTATATGATCTTGGAGGGGTTCCCAATCACTTTACAGCCAGTACAAACAAGAGATGTTGTCAGTCTGAATACAGATCAGATTCTTGATCAAGAACGAGCTAGTGAAATACCTCACAGTCATGGTAGATCTATTCTAACGTAAATGCTTTGATTATTATGATTAATCTTTATTTTTCCAGGGTCTTGATTGATTTACAGTGCTTACTTCACAGATCTGCTGTAGATTACATTAAACCTCAGAAAGAATTCAATACTGGGGACTTAATATTATTTCTAGAGCAATAAGCTTAAGCCAATCATGAAATGGAGAAAATTAAAGGAGAAGTTTGTTTCCCCTGTCGTAATGCTAGAACTCAGGTCATTGAATGAAACTCAGCATTGGAACATGTGTGTTATTAGTAATGAATTTCTTCACATGCTTTATAATCTATGTAACGTGTAGTGTTAGCAAGAGACAGAGATAACTATATACTTGGAAGGCTTTAAAAGAAGATATAGACATAATTGATGGAGTATTGTACTATTAATGACTATTTATGTTAGCTATTTTTTCATGCCATTTCCTTGTTAAGAGATAAAAGTTGCAACAGGCTTCTGAGTCAGTCAATATACATCTTATTGTTACATTAATATTGCAAGAGATATGGATTATCAAAGACACCCAAGAAGTTGAAATGTATTTGAATATTAATAACAGTTTCATGTTTCATAAGATGAATCCATCTGCATCTAAAACAACATTCTAAGTTCTCCACAATATACTGTTCTGAAATGGTATTGTACTTTCTTGGGATCACCACTAGAGATTTTGAAATATAATTTATTTTCAATTGATCTGTCTGTTCCCTGCTTGCCAAGATAATGAAAAATGCTGATAGAACTATTCCACTCCCACTTTACGGGTACTTGAGTCTTACCTGCAGTGGAAACTGAAATTTGATGAAATTCAAGTATCTTGAATGCTCTATGGGAAATTCTGAGAAAAGGAATATGAAGTGTGCTGAAAATAGTTGGATCCTCTTTCTGCATGTCAGTAATCGTCTGCAACACTAATTTTGTCAGGTACTTAAGACTGGAGGACTTGGCAGCACAAGGAAACAACAGCCAATAACTTAATAGCTGGCCATCAACACCTCAATCAACCAATAAGCCACACCCAACCAGGCACCACATAAATACCACACATGGAATAGTCCAAAGCACACATTCCCCTAGAGAGAAGTTCCTTGAGGATGGGCTCCAACAAGAGTTCAAAAGCTCAGGAGACTAAACCTCTGGTCCCGGTTACCGATCCAGATTGGATCCTGCAATACTAGTCTTTAAATACACAGAAGTGAAGAAAGCATATTAAAGTTAAGTTAACTTTACTTTATTGTCATTGCACCTCATACGAAATTAAATGCCATCTTCAGTGTACATTATAATTATAAAAATAAAACACAAACACACATCCTTCACATTCTATACAATTGATTTGAAAATCCGATACTGCATTAGTATTGTACTATACAGTAGAATTCAATATACTTACTGCCCTGGGATAGAAGCTGTTTTTCAGCCTATTTGTCCTGGTTTTTATTATCCTGTACTGTTTGCCAGATGGTAAAAGTTCAAAAAAAGGTGTCCAGGATGAGATGGATCTTTAAGAATGTTTTGAACTTTCAAAAAAAATGTTTAATTGGGAAGCAGTTTTTCAATCTGCAGCTGACTTTAGTACACAACACACACAAAAGAGTTCACATAACTTATCAACCTCAAGTTCACACACAAAAGCTGGTGCTCCTGCAGAAAATCGGTATTAATGTTTTAAATATTAATTAAGTTTCCTCCTTATTTCTTATGTGTCTGGACCTTCTATTCCTGACTGACCTATAACTTGAAATTTAAAGAAGTTGGATAGGAAAGAAAATGTAGCAATATCTTGAATGCTAATTTTGATGTGTTTTAAAGTTACATAAACTGTATTTTGTGATTTTTCATTAGCAGCAGAGAAACCAAAAGCAGAGCTACGAATGTGCCAAGGGATTTTGCCAGCATCCAAACTGAATATGTAATACATAGTACATTAGAATATATAATTTATTACTCTTGATTCTGTTAGTATTAACAGCATCAACATAGACAAAGTAAAAGGAGTGTAATATACTTTACTGTGAATGAAACACTGTAATGGTTGCTTGGTTAGAAAGCGATTCAGAATCTATTCTTGATTTTGACTCTGATTTCAAGGAGATCTAACCCTAACTCTAACCCCAATTTCATTTTCAATGGCAATATTTTGAGGACCCAATTTGTGGGGGCAATAAGATGACTTTGTATAAATATACAAAAGTATGAAGGCTATTGCTTAACGCATTGTAAGCCGCCCTGAGTCTTCGGAGAAGGGTGGCATATAAATCAAATTTTAAAAAATAAAATAAAAAATATTTTACTGAGGACTACAAACAACTACCCCGCCCCCCACCAAAAGCTAAAATGTCGCTTTCTTAAGAAAATGATTCCGAATCTACCCTTTCTATCCATTTTTGGCTCTGAATCCAAAGAGACCTAACCCTAACTAGTTTCATTTTCATGGCAATGGGATTTCCCATGTATTTCACTGTGGACTACGAACAATGCTAACCAGAAGCTGTCAATGTCTCTTTCCTTTACAAACATCTAAGAATCTATCCCTGATATCAATTTTTGGCCCCGACTCCAAAAAGGGCTAACCTTAACTCTTACCATACAGTAGTTTCATTTTCAATGGCAAAGGGATTTTCCCAAGTGTTTTAGTATGAACCACAAACAACTCCAAACAAAAACCTGCAACCATTTTTTTCCTTTGAAAAATGATTCAGAATCTATCCTTGATATAGTTTTCAGCCAAGATTCCAAGGAGACCTAACCTTAACTCTGAGACCAATTCCAATCCTAACTCTAGTTTCTTTTGCTATTTTCAAGGGCAACATACCTTTCCTTTACAAACATTGCAATGATATGGTGTAGTTATAAGTTCGGTTAGTGCAAGTATAAGCTTGGGAAGACTGAGATTTAAATTCCAGTGAAATCTGGAGTTCCCTTTAAGGTAAACAGTGTATTCTCAGCCCAACCTAGTGAAAAGAATTGCTGCAGTGGAAGAAAATGAAGGAAGATTCCCCTGTACATTGCCTTAAATTCCCAAGAGACTTGAAATGTGATGAAGAAAATCGTAAATATTATAGTAGCTGTTTCTTTAAGCTTACAGTACAAAAATAAAATATGCCATAGAGTACTTTATCACAACGGCAAATTTAACCAAAAAAAGACAGCTGTCAAATGAATTGTTCGAAGGATTTTAAAAATTTGTATTAATCAAAATACAGTATTTCATCACTATAGGACTTATAACAGTTCATTTAGTGATTGTTCAAATTTACATCGGCACTGAAAAAAGTGACTTAGGACCATTTTTCACACTTACCACCATTGTAACATCCCTATGGTCATGTAATCAAAATTCAGACGCTTGGCAACTGATTCATATTTATGACAGTTGCAGTGTCCCAGGGTCACGTGATCACCTTTTGCAACCTTCTGACAAACAAAGACAATGGGAAAGGCAGATTCACTTAAGAACCGGGCTACTAACTTAACAACTGCAATGATTCACTTAACAACTGTGGTAAGGAAGGTCGTAAAATGGGGCAAAACTCACTTAACAAATGCCTCACTAAGCAACAGAAATTTTGGTCTCAATTGTGGTTATAATTCCCCAGATGCTCTGTGCCAAGTGAAATACAGAATCCATGTAGCATACAGGTGTTTTTACATGGACTGGCTGACAGCTTATAACAAATGGGATAAACATTATCCAATTGTGCTTTGAATACAATGGTTAGTTTTGAAGGGTAACAGCTTTCTCATATACCCAAGAGTTTTTATTACTAGATAGGACCAGCACCAAACTAAGAGCATGTCTGGCTGCGATAGGGATTTGGAAAAGTCCTATCTTGCCTCTACTTACTTGATAAAATTATAAGAAA